TGCTCTTAAGTTTCTATTCCTTGCTTAGCCTTTCTTTTCTCTGCGCAACTGCAAATCTTTATCAAAATATGTCAAGGTCAATGGACAGAGGCCTCATCACCACCTGAAGATGCCCACATGACCATATCCAGAACTTTTAATTGGAAGAATCTTTTGGACTTTGGGGGGTGGGAACAATTCCATCCCTTTGTATATGTGATCTGCGTGCCTAATTTCTTAGATTCAGAATTCTACCTGTAGCTACCACTTCAAATTTCAGTAAAAGATTTCTTTCCTCTAATCTATGGAGTCTAAGTATTTCTTTCTTGAATTTTGAATGGAGCACAGACTGACAGGTAAAAAGGATGTGAGTTTTTTTGGATTGACTTGTATGTTTTAGTAGCTCTATTCCCATGCTTCGCTATGAAAGTATGTGATTGGGCTTAGTTTTTGGGGAGGAAATTTTTTTTAAAAATGTGCCTCTGCCTACCAGCATCCATCGGTATTCCTCTGGCTAGCGTCCTATCAGTGAGTGAGAGAGTTGAGGGCTGTTTGGAAACTGAAACAGTATTTGCTGTGTGAGCAAGAAGGAGACAGCAAGGAGCCACTGTACTAAAGCTGGTTGCTGCTGTGAAACTAAAATTGAAACTGAAACTCCTCTGCTTGTGTTTTGCATTTGGAACATGCATTTGGAGGGGGAGTAGAACTCCTTAGCATTGGAGCGTGTTAAAAATAATATATGAAATGCTAATTCATTACTGGTCATTTCAAAAAAAAATCCTTCCTTAGTGAGCACCTAGAAGCCAAGAGGAACATACATACCAAATTTCAAGTTTGTGGGCTTTACGATTGTGGAGATTTTGTGATGATGCTGAGTGGCATTTCACTTTTATATATATATAGATTAAAATCTAAGCATTCATCAAAACAGTGGCAGATACAAATAGCATGCATCTATAATTTAAACGCAGGGCACATATGAGTTCATTCAGACTCTACAATTGTGTTTTCAGTCTCAAAGTTAAAACGAGTTTCCAGGAACCTGTGCCACAAGCCTGAATGGATTTGCAGGGATTCACTTCCAGTTTTGGAGAGGAGTTAAGCACTCGAAGTCTTCTACATGAATGGACTACCTTTTTTAAAAATGTACACTACCTTCGTATTTTTTTAAAATCAAAACCTCCGATTGGGTTTATGAAGAACATATCAATTTTCTGAAAATAGGAACCAAAGCATGATCTTGTGCTTTAATATCCTGGAGTCCCTTGGTGTAGCAGGATGAGGCAACAAGATCTCTTAGACCAATAGAGAATAAATAAACCTAGGATGGGTCTTATCGAAAAGGAGCATGCTTTTGTTTTCGTAAAGGTTTTTATATGCACAATAATGTTAATGAATGCAAGGAGCTAACACAAACCCATTCAGAAACCTGACCTTCAAACAGAAACTGTATGGTGTAATGATGCATAAATAACCCACTGTATTTCCTAATCCACATTCATGCAACATCACACCTCTGATAAGATCCACTTTTCAAACACTTGAAAGGATGTAGAAGTATGAGCTATTTTAACAAGATACAAGTTCACCCCAAATGTATTGGTGTCAAATGTATCCTTCCTTAAAAAAAACTATCCTATCTATCTATCTATCTATTTATCTATCTATCTATCTATCTATCTATCTATCTATCTATCTATCTAT